AGAGTGATTTCACTAAACCAGTGAAATAGTATGTACCAATAAGTGGCAAATAGTTACAAGTCAAAAAAAGAAAACAACGAAACTAGAGAGTAATAGTTCGTATTACTGCGTCTTAACTATCTATTTTTTAGTAGCCTTGGAAATGTACAAATATACAACGAGGGTCAATACAAAAAATTGTATCAATACTGTAAGAAAAATAAAAGTTATGAATTAAATATGCTTAATTATCATACTTTTTAAACTGGGTGATAATGGGCCCTTTTACATAGTTGTTATGTTGACATAGGAGTCGTCATAGCAACGAAATGACGTCATTATTTGCAGCGGTGTTTCTCGGCATCGAGAGTTTTTTCCACAATCGTGCACCGGAGCCGATGTCACCATATAACATTACTTACAACAATTTTTCATCTTTGTGTGCATGTAATACAGTTGTGGTAATCGTTTTTCCATATCTTTGTTAATGGCGAGGTAGTGTTCAAACTTGGGAGGTATTGGCCATGAAAAAAAAACAACAACAACAATCGAGCCAATTTTGAATCCATCATCAGGACGGCGGTCATCGATGATTTTTTCGTCGATAGCCTTGTACAGGTGACAAGTGAAAAGAGTCCCCCAATCAGGGCCCGCGCAGCAGTTTTTCAAAAGTGCGTAAAGAAGCCAAATGGGGGGATTGTCCGAGGACGTCTCTATACTAAACGACAAAGGAATGTCAAAAGAATCTTGTGATACGATTAACAGGTTTATTCTAGCAAATTAAAGAGCGAGTTGATATTATCACCAAAAGCTGAATGCAGTGCGTTTTCCACATTTCGAGAAACAGCCTAAATTTCATGTCGTTCGTTTCCAGTATGCCGATTCACTTCGAGCGCCTGACTAAGGCCCGGTTCAGACGCCGAACGTTTCATGAGCCGAACCTAATTCGAATTAAGGCCGATCCAAATTATTTGGACCGGCTGAATTGATTCAGATGCCGATCTTAATTGCAGCTGAACTAAGTTACAAGGCGGAAAATGCACTTTTCGGTCAAACTGCTTACAAAATACGTTATAATAATTAATGCATTAGGTTCGGTACATGAAAAGTTCGGCGTCTGAATCAAAGCCGTTCCAAAGTCGCTCGTCGATCCAAAGGCGAAATTCCCGGCCTGGCTAGGCGAAAAGAACGGCTGAGCCGTTCCAAATTGAAACAAGCGTTCCTAATTGATTCAGACGCCGAACTTTTCATGAACTTAATTCAACGTATTAGGTTCGGCTCATGAAAAGTTCGGCGTCTGAGCCGGGCCTGATTGGCGAGTGGATTGCAGGCGGGATTTTGTAGGATGTTAGTTAGGGTGGGCAATAGTAATTTTTTTCTTCCGATTAGAATATCTACCTAGTTATGAAAATCCTTTTTATTCACAAAACTGGCGAGAGTGTATGATACAGATAACTTGACCAAAACTGATACAAAAAAGAACAAAGAAAGAATGCATAGTGCATTACCTGGTTTGCCGCAGTCCTGATCGTTTCTGTTGCTATAGTAACAGTGAACCTACTATCAATCATCCTTTTTATAAAAAACAGTGATCTTAGAACTCGTGGCATGTACTTGGTTATAAACCTGAACGTAGCTGAAACTTTAGTCGGAGTAATTTCCAGTCTTCAATTTCTACGTCTTCAAAGCAACGAATGCAAAAATGCATATAGTCTGAATGTAAGGTCTAATTGGGCAGGGCACACAATAACTTTGTTTCTTTTTACTTGGTTTCCTCTTACTTCTCTTACAAATATTACTGTAATTTCGTTAGATCGGATGCATGCGACATTTCGTCCATTTAGGCATCGAGTAATCAAAAAATGGGTCTACGGGGTAACAATTTCTGTCGTCTGGGTTTTAGCTGCAATGATATCAACTGCAATTATGATGCTTTTATTATTCGACAAAGAATGGTCACACTATCGGTATTTATGGCTATTTATGGTCACACTATCGGTATTTAATATTCCTTATTATGTCTTTTTGTTATCTGTGCTTGTTACGCCTCGATTATTGTCAAAATTTGTTGTGGAGCGCGTCCTCAGCACCATGGTGCAGCCCGTAGGCAAAGAGAACTGACTGTCACGTTACTCATCATGACTATTGTATCGTTACTGTTGTGGTTACCATTTGCTGTAGCTACCTTTGTTTATTATACAAATGATAGCATTCGATCACTTTCTTACACAAAAAGAATGCGATTGAATATGTTTTTACTACTTTTATTTTGTACAAACTCGTTTGTCAATCCCGTCGTTTACACAGTAAGAATGCCCGAGTTCAGGAAAGCTCTCCTTTTATTATTTACACGTCGACAAAGACAAATGCTGCTGTTATTCCTCTTCGTGCTCGTTAAGGTACTTTGGGTAAAACTTTCGATTGCAAGTGATCGCAGGTTCAGCTTCAGATGATGATGATTTTCTCCCTGTTTTGGTTCATTTTCGATAAAAATACGATAGTATAGATACAGAAGATGCTATGATTTGAGTTCCCCATAATACACTGTTTGTCCCCCTTTCTGCATAAACTACTGGGAGGATTGAATATTTCCTGAAGAGCTTTTGAAAGCAAGAACTTATGCAAATTTGAGAACAAACAGAATGTATTATGAGCCAGAGGGATTCGAAAATAGTAAATATACATATCAGTTTTTGTGTATAACTTGTCAAGCTCGTTGATGGTCTATAGCTGGAAAGTGAAATGGTTTGAAATGTGTTTCAGAACTTTAAAGTAGATCATGTACAAGTACCGTCGCAATTTGTAATAAGCCGTGTCGCACTTTGCATTAAAATGCTGTCGCATACAATTTGTAATGAACTAACCTGTGGAGTTTTCCGTTACTATTTTCATTATTCTTAAACCTGGTTTACTTAAACATGTTTTGTTGTTGTAAATGGGGCATAACAGGTGTTTTAAACCATTCATTGGAGTAGTTATTATTAATCCAAAGATGAGATGAAAAAATATAATTGTCATGAAACTGTTGATAAAATAGTCAGTTGAATTCATAAGATGTGATAATAAGATCTCATGTGTTAGAGTGATTTCACTAAACCAGTGAAATAGTATGTACCAATAAGTGGCAAATAGTTACAAGTCAAAAAAAGAAAACAACGAAACTAGAGAGTAATAGTTCGTATTACTGCGTCTTAACTATCTATTTTTTAGTAGCCTTGGAAATGTACAAATATACAACGAGGGTCAATACAAAAAATTGTATCAATACTGTAAGAAAAATAAAAGTTATGAATTAAATATGCTTAATTATCATACTTTTTAAACTGGGTGATAATGGGCCCTTTTACATAGTTGTTATGTTGACATAGGAGTCGTCATAGCAACGAAATGACGTCATTATTTGCAGCGGTGTTTCTCGGCATCGAGAGTTTTTTCCACAATCGTGCACCGGAGCCGATGTCACCATATAACATTACTTACAACAATTTTTCATCTTTGTGTGCATGTAATACAGTTGTGGTAATCGTTTTTCCATATCTTTGTTAATGGCGAGGTAGTGTTCAAACTTGGGAGGTATTGGCCATGAAAAAAAAACAACAACAACAATCGAGCCAATTTTGAATCCATCATCAGGACGGCGGTCATCGATGATTTTTTCGTCGATAGCCTTGTACAGGTGACAAGTGAAAAGAGTCCCCCAATCAGGGCCCGCGCAGCAGTTTTTCAAAAGTGCGTAAAGAAGCCAAATGGGGGGATTGTCCGAGGACGTCTCTATACTAAACGACAAAGGAATGTCAAAAGAATCTTGTGATACGATTAACAGGTTTATTCTAGCAAATTAAAGAGCGAGTTGATATTATCACCAAAAGCTGAATGCAGTGCGTTTTCCACATTTCGAGAAACAGCCTAAATTTCATGTCGTTCGTTTCCAGTATGCCGATTCACTTCGAGCGCCTGACTAAGGCCCGGTTCAGACGCCGAACGTTTCATGAGCCGAACCTAATTCGAATTAAGGCCGATCCAAATTATTTGGACCGGCTGAATTGATTCAGATGCCGATCTTAATTGCAGCTGAACTAAGTTACAAGGCGGAAAATGCACTTTTCGGTCAAACTGCTTACAAAATACGTTATAATAATTAATGCATTAGGTTCGGTACATGAAAAGTTCGGCGTCTGAATCAAAGCCGTTCCAAAGTCGCTCGTCGATCCAAAGGCGAAATTCCCGGCCTGGCTAGGCGAAAAGAACGGCTGAGCCGTTCCAAATTGAAACAAGCGTTCCTAATTGATTCAGACGCCGAACTTTTCATGAACTTAATTCAACGTATTAGGTTCGGCTCATGAAAAGTTCGGCGTCTGAGCCGGGCCTGATTGGCGAGTGGATTGCAGGCGGGATTTTGTAGGATGTTAGTTAGGGTGGGCAATAGTAATTTTTTTCTTCCGATTAGAATATCTACCTAGTTATGAAAATCCTTTTTATTCACAAAACTGGCGAGAGTGTATGATACAGATAACTTGACCAAAACTGATACAAAAAAGAACAAAGAAAGAATGCATTATTTGCTTCGGCTCGTCACCCCTTTTCGCAACTTAACTCAATAACGCGATAATATCTGTAGTGTTTGTCCAAGATAGATTACGTCTATCAGTCCTGGAATCAGAACAGACCGATTATCATAAATTTCATATTTTTTTTCCCGCGAGGTCTGTCAACCAAACACTAAATTGTGAGAGCAGAGGCTACAAGCAGTTTAATTAATTTCCGTACGTCAGTTCATATGGAGAAAAAGCAGCGTCTGTTCACAAGCCCAAGAAAAATGGCTTCCCTCACCCTTTAAACCCTAAGATCAAAATTTGAAATTCTCAATTGTTATCCTATTCATTTCCTACAGAAGTAGTGGGGAGAAGTTGATAAAATATCAATCAAATTCATCTTGTGTGATCATGTCTGTAATTCACATGACACTCTGTTTTACAAAACATTAATTTTACAAGGAGAAATTTGATGCTGATCACTCTTACGGCTTAAACTGGGTTAACGCCCGTTACACGGAGTGTTTTTTTTTTGCCCTTTTGTGTGACTTATGTTAAAACTAATTTAAGCGGCGACTTAAGTCACAATTTTGTTGAAGGCAATTTTTCAAGGTTGCATAACGTAGTGATAAAACTTTAACTGGCTTAGCTCTACGTCTCGATACGTCATTCCCACGCATGAAATACCTATGAAATCGCTGATAGTTTACAGGTGCAAAGATACTCTCTAGGGATTAGTTTTTGTTATTTCGTTCGAAAAGTGGGGGGTGGCCGGGGGGCAAGACAAGCCACCCCCAGCACAAATACTAATCATAACTGACTCACTAAGTTAAGCGATAAATCAGGATAACTCCTGTAAGGGTATGGCAACGATTAACGAATTCAAACGACTGGATTAATTTTTAACTGAGTGATACATTATATCTACTACACGTTTTGTGGCTGGCCTGTTATGGCTCATCACGGTCTTTTAAAAGTCACTTAACAATTTAGTCAGTTCGCTAAAACCATTAGAAAACTCGGGAACAATGAACTTGTAAACTTCACGCTCTTTTCTTCTGTCGGCCGGTTATGGGAGGGAGAACTGCTCCTTGTCTGCTCACCGTTGCCCTCTCCTCAGTCTTGATTCTAATTATTTCAAGGCAGCTACCGTGCGTCTGTAGGGTGGCGCCTAGAGGAAGCAGTGCAGCTTGCATGGTAACAGCCATACTAGCAGTCAGCGTAGGAAACATTTGCGCATGGCTCGTCAGGTTATCCTGGAGAGGTGTCCTGCGATTCCCAGCAGACAAAGAGCGGAGGGGTGGTAGAGTGAAGCGGTTCGGTTCCCTAAAGAGTGCTTGACTTCCTGTTTCAAGATATGAAGGTTTCCCAGTTGACAGCGGGACTTTGTTCGATGCTTGTCGCTTACATATGGCCAGGGACGTATCATTCTTGTCTGACGTCTCTTCACTGTTTTCCACTGGAGATTTAAGACATGGTGTTATATTGAACTCCTCATGCAGTGAGGTGTCTTGCTTATTTTTGTGTTGACCTGGCAGATGGAAGAAACCTGTATCATATGCATCTTTCACTTGTGCCCAGTGCATCTCAGCTTGTCTCCTGATTAATTCCTCCTGGAGGGAAATGTCTGAACCAGTCAGCTGTAATCCTGTAAAAAGATAGAAAAAGGTATTTAAAGTGGCTGGCAATATTTCTTGTGAATCAATAGATCAACAAACACTCCGTTAGCTATTCGACTGAGTAGAATTAGAACGTCATGAAATTATACCTAATCGATTTCAATCAGTTCTCCGAAAAAAAAGACGAATTAGCAGGATCACTTGTTTAAAAGTCATTATGATTCAAAAACGGAATGAGCTTCTGTCATTTATTATCATAGAACTCTGCTAAAATTTCAAAGCCTTAAAGGAGAAAGGCCTTATAGTTTCAGGGAGACGCTATTGTCGATCCAATTACAGCTGATAGGAAAGCAAGTTCTACACGTATCCTTGCTTGAAAATCAGCTGCAAATACCCACATTGCAGTGGCCGATCCAGACATTCAGATAAGGGGGAGAGGGGTAGGGACGGTCAACAACGAGCTTTATTTGCATGACCATACAAACACATACATTACTGCAAAAGCTATGTTTAGGAATCAAAATTACAACACAGGCCCTGAGATAAGGTTGATGCCCGCTCTCAAAAAAAATATTTTTGGCCCTTCGGGCCTCAGTTTGGTCTAAAAATAAGGGTGGGTGGATGGGGGGGCCTTCCCCTAGATCTGCCAAGGTATTGTCCCCAGAGACTCCCCTCTTAGACGAAGTCCTGGGAAAGAGGTTGAGCTGGCACCCACTTGCAATTTATAATCCCAGCTTACTTTTAAGAGAAACTGTTTCTTGCAGAGGATTTCCAGGGAGGGGACTATTTCGTCTGGGCTCCCCACCTTCTCCTCCTAAGATTGCAAACACTTGGTCATCCTGTAGCACCTTATTCACCAGTGAGCTCAAGACCACTGCTACGTATTGCTCCCAAGAAGTGTTTCCATGGTAACGCTGAGTGCCAATCACGCCTACAATTGAGATCCATTCTTTACCCAGGACTTTGCAGCATTCAAGTATATCTGCGAAAAGAACATGTCAGCTTGATAAGATGCAGCACTTTTACGTCAACTTCACATTTCCTTTTGATTTGGTTCACAATTTCTTTTTAAAAACCAATAAAAAGAATGTTTTTTGCAAGAAAAAGAGACGACAGAGACGTGGAATTTCATCAAAATCTTTCAGCCTCATTGAAGTCTAGGTTTATGAGCACTACTACCCACCTAAGCTTGAAGTTCTCACAGCTACTGCAGTAGCTCTCCCATTCTTTGTGAAATCTCCCATCTGAAATACTTTGCCAACATGGACAGCTTGCTTGCGGTACTTGGGCGGTTTCCATCCATATTTGCCATTTTCGAACACGTTGATCAAACATTCACTGCACGCTAGGCTTTCAAGTTTTCCAAGTTTGGGGTTCTTACGAGCTATCGCTTCTGCCACAATCACGTCACCGATCTCGTACGTCCTGCTATGAGGACATTTCCCGAACCCGAGAAAGATTCCAGCTTTGGGTTTCAGTGATTTGATGGCCTGGATAACTGCAAATGGCTCGCATCGAGCTTTGAGTAAAAACACAAGGCGGGAATTGATTCTTCCAAAGTAAACGTACCCAGCCCCTGCTATCAACACGGCCTTCAGATCTTTCAAAATGCTCGCGATCGCGAGAAATATCAACTCGTTTTCGGCGATCAACAATGCGTTCGTTGGGATGTAAATTTTGTCAACTTCAACTGTCTCGTATAAGAGTTCTTGTGGAAGCAGTGCGCAAACGGAGGGAGGTCTGATTGGCAATCCGGTTCCGGCCATATCAGGAAATGAACGATCCTGGCGAAGAAAAAGACAGGTTTTTTCTTCATCTCCGTCTATAACCTATACAAAAAGCTTAGTGGCATATACTGATGTACTTATCCGCGAGTTCACAAGATAAACTTCAGTAAGCATTTTAGAAAGGAACCTTAAAAAGCAAAGACAATTCTCTTTTCCGCTAACTTGAAGAATGCGTTCGTTCCACGCTCCCATAACAGATTTAAAAACATATACTCCTCTGGCGTCTCGGGTACTAATTAATATTCGGCGCTTTAGAAAGGTTAAAAGAATTTAACCGTGTGTGCCTGTAAGGTTTAAGCAATGTATCAGACTCTGAAATGTAGCGAAACAATTTTCATCTTTTTTTTTAAGAAATCACAGTTATAATTGAAGGGAATAGACTCTAGAACGACTATTGTTCTCTCGAAATAACCCTGTTGAAAAATTACAATATCAAGCTGTTAAACACCGACCACGGAAGACCAATTCACAAGAGTTTGCTTTATCAGCAACTTCTACTAGGGCCACTCTACTCAGTTACCACAGTAACAAAATATAAATTACAATAACAACAGCGACCTATCACCCCTCAGGTTACCGCAAGTGAGGTGTGCCAAGTCTATTACTACTAATATATACAGTTACTGGCATTCCATTGATGGAAAATAGAACAGTTAAAATGTTGTTATTATATACAAGCATTTTCGCAATCAAACGAACAGATATAATTTCTCGAACCCAAATTCGTCTCCAAATAACAATTTCACGATAATATGTTTATTTTTTATTGTCGGATACATTGATAAATCAACTTTTACACACGAGCCGATGACAACAACACGAGTTTGTGGGGGTGAAGGGTGATATACTAAAAAAGCTATCTAAAAAAATAGGATCTCAAATCGTGCTCTTCACTCTCAGTTTCACCTTAAACGAAAATTGATTTTTCACACTTTGTATTAATACCGGAACTAAAACGGAAAGCAAGGCGAGACTGTTGCACCTGATAAATTCTTGGATCTCAAAAATAAACGCCGTAACCTATTAGTTAACCAGACGAAGTATCGGGTCCTCAAAAATACTCTTGACGGCGATAAGAAAAGATCAATTTCCTACTGTGATGAAAGAAGCATTTAGATGATATCTCTGTGGAAAAACTACGACCGCATTGATATTGATGAGCACTATTTTACCTATATCTCTATTTAACCAATAACGAGGACAATTTGTCATAACAGGATAAACGTGCCTCACTATTGACTGACTAGGGCGCGAACTCTTCATGCGCCGGATCTAATTATTACATTTGGTTACTCAAATTTAATCTGCCGGATTTCATAAGACTTTTACCTGGGTAGGTCCGACCCACTCGTAAGGAATTCGTCACGGTTTTGTAAGATCTGCACCGGAGTCTCCAACCCGCAGCCTTGTACCGCAAACCGACACTGCTCCGCTATTATCCCGAACAAAACCAATCTTCTGAATAATAATCTATGATTCATCGTTCACCCATGTATTAATCAGCATTTGCGGTTTTTTGTTGCTTATATTACAGGAAGTGTTTACCGGGTTAAACAATGAAAAGGAAGCTTCTTTAGGAGGGGGCTTTCCCTTTCCTTTACATTATTAAGTATTTTTTTATGAAATTTACAACGGCCCTTTGTGTTACAAACGTACCGTTGAAAGAGCGTCTTATGCATTACTTTTCTCCTATTAACTAATTAATTTGTTAGCTATGTTAGGATTTTACATAAACTAGTCTTCGAACATATTTCATAAATTCCTTGCTTAGGGTAAGGCTTTCTTAAATTGACAAAAAGAAAATCTCATTGTGAATATTACAAGGGTACCCAGCGACTATTTTCTGTAAGGGACCGGTCATTATTTATCGCCTGGGGGGGGGTCGGAGGATCTTGGGCTAAACACGATGAAATTTAGCCGATCCCCCCTTTAAATGTTATTTTATTGAAGTGATCCCCCCTCATAACTATATATAACTTTCGTGATCCCCCCCCCCC